TAGGAGAAATTATTACGTGCAGAGTCTAAACTTAGAGTTGTGTCTGAACTCCAATGAAATGTTCATACGAGATCAAAATACAATTTTATTACTAAGTATTTGTTGAGCATTTATTATGTATTTGCTAAGTATTTATTAAATATTTAATGTATATTTAATACTTAATAAATACACAGTAAATACTTTGTAAAATACTCCATAAATACTTGCTAGATACGCAGAGTCCGGACACAACTCTACGTCTAGACTCCGCACGTAATAATTTATAGTGAAATAGAGAGGAAAAAGACCCATATGGAAGTAATAATGTAATATGCACCAATGCAATAGAAAGCATACTGTCATTCACTAATATTTTCATATAAATCTCAACATATATACTCATCAGGAACATTAATATGAGCGTTACTAAGATGATTTTTTTATTTGTTGTGTATTCTCAATCATTTTGATCATGTTGTTGAATTGGATTTGAAATGCCCAGTGAATTTCAAATTCAGCACATATGGAGCTCAAGTTTAATATAATAACTATTGAGATTGAGAAGATTTACATTAAGGCTTCTAGTGCTTCTTAAAGCAGCTATTTAGTACAAAAAATTTAATTTTAGTACTAAAATGCTGCTTTAAAAAGCAGTAAGAAAGCCGTCCCAAACAAAGCCTAAGAGTCAATTTGGGCAATTGTAGCATTTCAGTAAGGAAATCATAGAACTGTAGTGAGAAAAAAAAAAATTTAGAAGCTATATAACAAATATTACGAATAAAAAAATTTGAATGGCAGTTTTCTTACAACAAACATATTCTGGCATATCTAATTATTAAAAACAGTTTTACACTAAAAATTTCTAAAAAGTAATAGAAAATCAATAACCAAACGCATGTGTGGTCATGATCTGAAAGATAAAATAATGAAAAACATATTCCAAATAAACCTTTAAACATTTGTCCGTCTATATTTCCCACCAACGCCACTATTTTTTTTTTATGAATGTTTGCTGACTTTTACTGTGTTCTGCTGTATCATATTGCTGAATTTTGCTATTCACGCTATTTCCATTTCCCTCTGACATCGTTATCTCAGTGATAATTTCTACTATTCCGATTATTTCCCTTTGAGCCTTCGTTTCCCACTAACTATACCTCTATTTCCCCAATAATTGTTGCTAAACGCTACAAATTCTTACTATTCCTTGTTAGCGACTCACTCTGCCACGTGATGGAACCGAGAATTAGAGAGTTGGACTTCACATCTGCTGTTGAAATTCATGCAAAATGTATTAAGCTTTATTATAATTGACAAGATACTAATAGATCCTTAAAAGTTGATTTATTTAGATTTTATTGCGTTATAAATAAGACCCAGAAGGTATATAATATTCATTCAATGATTCAGTAAATTTCATATTCCCTATCAACAATTGTGGGTGATATTTCTGTGATTTTCTTTTTAGTATTTTATAGGTTTTGACAACAATTTTTGCAGGTTGCTTCTCCTTATATCGAAGCGTGGCAGTAATCTTCAATTGGGTAATTTTTACCTTAGTTTCTTCAGTTAACTTGTTTAGTATTTGATTGTATGTGAGATTGAAATTTTGCTAAATTTTGATGCGTTAAAATTTGTTGTGGTGTTAATCTTAACCAGCATGGAGTTTTAATTCTTTTTGGAATTCAAGTTTTAACGACACAATTATATGTTTGAATCTTATGATAGGTTTATAAATTTTATATTTAAAGATGTTTTGTCTCAAGATTACCTTGTTATCATTATATTTTTTATCAAAGATCTAACCTAAAAATATATTATGAACAATTTGTTAGTAATGCCACATCTACAATTAAATTCCTAGTTTTCTTGTGAGATATCAAATTTTAATGATTATTACATTATTATTTAAAATAAAATAAGCATATGTGATGCTTTTGCATCAAAGGTTATTAATTTTTGATAAAATTGAAAGTTGGTAATCTATGATTTATAGCTTTTTGTATGTTTCATTGCGTACCTCCTCGTGAACGTTAGAGCCTAAGGTGACCACCATCATGTTTAATACTTTAATATAATACAGAATGGCTAATTGTTTTCAAAGAATATGGTGATATTATGCGGGCATCTTTGCGAAAAAGCTATGCACATTTTATTTATAAAATGAGGAAAATATCATTGGACACTTTGTAAATGAAAATAAGGACATCTTACCATCTCTGAATTGATCTCAGATGTTGAAATATTGCTCCTGCTATTGCTGTCGTCGCGACCAAAAATGAATGTCCTGACGGAAATAGATCCTTGTTTATGTGATGATGGAAGGGAATTACTTGTTCGATTGAGAAAAGAAGACTGCAAAGCAAATAGTTAGGATGATGCTCAGAATAAACATACAATATAAGACAACAGAAACTCATTTTATGGACTAGGTTAAGGAGAAAAAGAACTAATGAATTGATTAGTTCAGCATATGTTCCATTTCTTGTGAAAATTTACAAAACATAATATAACTAGCTATACTATGAATTGTTCCATTTTGTGAAAATTTACAAAACATAATATAACTAGATATGCTATGAATTGTTCCATTTCTATTTAGATATTTAGTTTTTAAAAATTATTCATCAAGTTTTAAAAGAACTGCGTATTAAAATAAAACTATACAGCACATAAATTGATATGATAAGGTTTTTGTGCTTCTTTAGATTATGCTGCCTCTAGTAGTCATTTTTTTAGAGAGATGGAGAGAGATTTTTCTTATATATAGCTCTCTCTAAAAAAAAAAATGTTTAGAACCTTCTTTCACTGCCTAGTAGTTACTTTCAAACTATGAAAGGCTATGCTTCTTGCTTGTTATAACCCCATATTACACAAATTAAATTGCAATACAGAGACAACATAATGCCATTTTTATAACAACTATAATAGAGCATACTAACGGCTTGAGACATATCATGGATCAACCAAAATGACAAGCAAACTGCTTTGCTAACTTCTTTCAAATTTACCAATTTTATACGGAAAAAAGGGAAACAAAGAGTAACGGTCATTCATTTATCAGCAATTTTTATAGGTTTATAGGTTACCTTCGAAGAACTATTGCTGCTTCCGGACAAAGCAACAGAATCAAAGAGAGCTGCTGGAGGGCAAGCGATCAATAATTAACAA